AGAACCTTGCAACAACCCTTTTTCTCCTTGATCAAGCGTTAAGTGAGAAGAAATAATAACAAGAAAAAGAAAATATTCTCACCTAAGAATGCAGGGCTTTAAAATAAGTGAGTTGTTTCAGTTCTTGTTTTTGAAGGTTCACTTTCTTTTCTTTCATTCTTTCTCATTCATGATGTTTGATTCATTAATGTCATCTTTAGTATGCAAAGTGTTTTCCACACATTCATCAATAACATCAATTCGAAAACAATCACCATAATCCATAGGAAGTTTACATGATTTCAGAACGTCAAAAACAATTTCTTCCTGTCCAACCCTTAAAGTTAATTTACCTTCATAAACGTCAATTAATGCTCTTGCAGTTGCAAGAAAAGGCCTCCCAAGGATTAAAGATCCTTCTCTGTCTTCATCAATATCAAGAATAACAAAATCAACAGGAAAAGTGAATGTACCTACCTTTACAAGCACATCTTCTACAATTCCTCTTGGATATTTGGGATATTTGATCGAGCGATCCGCTAATTGTAGAGACATCCTTGTTGGTTTAAGCTCTCCCATGCCTAGCATCTTAAAAACTTCATAAGACATAAGATTAATACTAGTACCTAAATCTGCTAAAGCTTTCTCAAAATCAAGATTACCAATATTGCAAGGGACAGAAAAACTTCCTGGGTCCTTCAACTTTAGAGGCAGTTTATTTTGAATAATTGCCTATGTTAATATAGAAAATTATATTAAATTTACGAATTTTGCTAACTCACTAATATAGAAAATTATAATTTTTTTATTTTGGGCTTGAATTAAATTAAAATTAAAAAATTTTAATTTGATTGCCTACGTATCCTCTTGGGAATTAGAGGAAATAAAAACCCACGCAGTTCTTTTTTATTATTATTACAATGGAAAATAACCTCCCAATTATTATAATTAATTTTAGTCATCAGTACCACTAGTCCCCGTTAATGAGCCGGAATCATCATCGTCGCTTGAATTTTATTGGTCTTGAGTTCTCAATGCCGCTTTAATCCAATCGTCAACACATTCTTGCATTTCCACATTATTTGGCGATAATCTTGATCGTGTTGGATCTAAAATTTGTCCACCCGCACTAAAAGCTTGTTTTTTCCACTACACAATAGAAATTGGACAAGCAAGAATATCTTTTACAATTGAAGCTAAGACATGGGAAAAGGCGATTTTGCATGGTTTTTCCACCAACCCAAAATGTCAAATTTTGTGTGTCTTCAATCCGCATCATCACCTAAAAAACTTCAAATTCGTGCTAATATATGTTCTCAATTTTTGTGTATGAATTGGTGGGGACCTTCCCTTGTTTTTTTTGAAAACATTTATGCATGGGGAGTAAATTGTGGAGAATTGAAATTTAGTGGTTGTGTAGTTGTGGATGTGTTGATACTTGAGGAAGGGGGAGATACTAATTTAGAAAGGGGAGATACTAATTTAGAATACTCATCGTACAATTGACGGACATACCTTAAAACATTATTAGTAAGAGAAAAATAATCTACTTCAATATTAAAAGATCCATAATAATGACGAAAAAATTCTTCTAATACAACTAACTTAAATCTAGGACAAAGAAAAAATGCAACTAAATTTAAATCTGGAATTTCAGTATAATATTTTAACCATTTAATTTTCATCATGAATATACATTCTTGTAAATCGTCATCATTTTCATTTTCAATTGTGGCACTACTTATGGGCAAACAATGAAATGGAAATAAATGGGAAGTAGGATAATAAACACCACTAAAAATTCTTGTACAATTTTCAAAAACTTGCAAAAAATTTAATATTTTTTACAAATAGTCCAATTGGTTGGATAGTTGGATAAAGTTGAAAATGTGATGCATGCAATTGCATAAATGAAGAAAGAATATCCTTATATTCATAAGACTCATTTAAGATTTTATAAGTTGAATTCCATCTTATAGGAATATCTCTTGAAAATTTTTTATATTTTTTTCCCATAGAGTGACAAAAAATTTTAAATTTTTTTTTTAACATATCTATGTATCCATAAATGATTTAAAACATTTTTTATTGGACGTAAAAATACATTTAATATTGTTAATGCATTTTGATCACAAATTTAAAATATGACAAGCACATCTAGTGTGAAAAAATTGTTCACCAAATTTGGGTTGACAAAGAGTTTTTAATTCATTTATTGACGTCGTATTTGCACTAGCATTATCAAAACCAATTGTAAAAATTTTTTTAGTCAAACCATATTCTTCTAAAATAATTTTAACATGGTAAAAATATTATGGGCGGTGTGAGAGTTATCAAAAACTCTAAGTGCAGTGAGAGTCATCAAAAACTCCAAGTGCAATATTCTTTTTTAAATTTTCCATTTATTGTCAATCCAGTGGGAAATAACACCCATATAAGAATGAGTTTGTGATGCATCACACCAAATATCACAACAAATAAATTTTACCATCAAAATTTGTAAATATATTTTTTAAAATTTCTTTTTCTTTCAAATAAATAGATAAAATTGTCCTTTTAAGTGTATTCCTAGATATCTTTTTTTGTAAAAGATTTAATGTTTTTTTACGATAGTTATTAAATCAATTTTTTCACCAAATGAAAAAGATAATCATTCCATACAAACCATTTTAGCCATTTCAATTTTATTAGCTTCATCACTATATTTAAATAGTGGAGTGTTAGGATCACCATACCTTGATGACAATAATTGAGTTTGAGTTAGATCTATTCCTACCTCACTTGAATGATATGATTTTAAATGCCTATTATGAGTGCCATAGCCTCCTCTAAGCTTGAGTGTATTTTTTTTTTGCAATAATTATATCGAATCGTATTGATTTCTCCGTTATCTTAAACAATTTTTGCAAAGTGCTTCTTGAAAACATATAATTTTAGTGGTTTACCTATTGAAATGTTAGGAGATGTTACTTCTTGTGATGGATGACGACGAATATAACGTTCCTCAACTAACGTTCCTCAGCTAGAGTTTGGATATTGAAACTTCATTCATTATAAATTTTGGTGAAAAATTATCAATGATCGTTTGAATCAATTTCTTCTACGCTTTGAGCAAAACTCGCTTTCCCTTGGAGTTGAAGCTATTTGTGAATTGTGTTGCCATATTTTTTTAAATGGATTATGGAAAAAGAATGAATAAAGGAATTATGAAATTAATAGAATGAGTTTGGAATATTATTTCAAATACTAAGAAAATTATTTAAAAAAAATTGCAAATGAATTAAATTTATGAATGCGAAAACTGAGATCAGAAGGAATTAGGAATTGGATGTATGAAAATAAAAAATTAAACAATAGAGTAATCCAATATTTAAGAAAAATAAAAGCAAAGAAAAAATAAATGAACTATGGAAATTGAGAGAATTTTGATTAAGAATATAGAGGAGGAAGTTATGAATTATTTAATTGATTGTGAAAAAAAATCAACTCATCATATTTATACATATTTTTCAATTTATTTAGTTTTCCCAAATTTTTGTCTTGTAACAGAAAATAATAACTATATTTTTGGATAATTTAGTAATTATAATAATAAATAAATAAATGATTAAAAAATGAATAAAAGTTTTATTACCAAAAATAAAAAAAAAAATTTAAAAAGTCACCTCAAGCTTCAAAGCTAGCCGTTTGTCCTTCTTTTGTAACATAATTTTTTTTGTTTTTTTTTAAAATCAACTTTCATGTACTATTTTTTGTTACAAATTAAGTGGTCAAATCATGTGTACTTTTTTTCATCACTTTTTATAAATTATGTCCATTGTGTACTTCTCTTCACTATAAAGCAAAATCAAGTTCAACTACAATTCAAATTAAGTGATATAAATTTTTTTATTAAAAATTTTAAGCTACAAATAATTTTGTTTTGTACATCCCGGTTCGTTTATAAATTATGTACCATTGTGTACTTCTCTTCACTATAAATCAAATCAAGTCAACTACAATCAAATTAAGTGATATAAATTTTTTTATAAAAATTTTAAGCTACAAATAATTTTGTTTGTACATCCGGTTCGAACCGAACTGGAACCGCCGGTTTCAGGCTGGTTTAGGTTCATTTTTTAACATTCACATAAACTTTAACCGATCCTTGAACCGTCAGTTCCGGTCCAATTTCGGTTCATCTACAGTACGGTTCGATTCCAATTAGAACCGAACCGGTGGCCATGCCTATTACCCTGCCAGAGTTGAATAGCTATCACATGATCCTCCAATAGTTAAATGGTTACATTTTTATAAGTATACTAAAATATACTAATAAGATAATTGCAACTGCAAGAAAGGGCCATGGATTTATTGCTAAGACTCATTTTCTAAAGAAAAAGAAAAGAAAAAAAAATGCAAAAGGGATAAGTGAGATAGAAAATATTATATTGTTGATTTCTGCTTTTAATTGAATCATACAGGAGGTGGTGGCAAGTCTAATAAAAGCCAAAATCCTACACAGTCCTCTGAAGCTAGATCCTCTTGAATTGCAAGAAAATGTAAGCCTCCACAAGCTTTTTTAGCTGCTTCCCAAGCTTCAGCCTCTGCTGTTGTTACAGGAGTTTTCTTGTAAGTCGCATAAATATAGCGGGTAGAAATTCCAACAGATAGAATCAAGCAAGCACGAGAAGTGTCTGCTTCGATTGAATACACCTCCAGTCCGTTCATCCAGGCTGTAACAACACATAGAAGGGTTTCAACTTTGAATGGATCATTCGATTACTGAAATATCACAAATTCTAATATTTAAGAAGAGAAACACATTCAAATGGCACAGATATTCCAAGATTCTCATGTTTGTTCCTTGACAATTACAAAACTCATAGCAGTAGCAGCAAGAGACAAATTTGCTTTGTATTTTGATATTAGAATCGAATTCGCAATTTCAACCAATGTAGGAATGATATCTAAGGCCTTTTTATCCTATAAAGAATTGTAGATCAAGATTTGCTGAAAGGACACACAATAAGGTGCTTTAGATCATGCATAGTTCATAATCTGAGAAAAACCAACATTCATGCATGTGAAAATAATTCGGAATATTAGCCATCTTTGTTTTGCACTACTTGTCTATGCAAACTTTGAACTTGGTTTCACGTAATTAAAAAATTTATCCCTGCCAAATTGAACCGAGTATTGAATGCGACAGGCATTTAGACATTGCAAATTGACTTGCAAAATGAGATATGAAAGAGCATCAGTTGTGTTCACATTACAGGAGAATATATCAGACGGAGTATTAGACCTGCCAACGGTTTAGCACGTGAAGAGGCAACAGCAAGTCCTGGAATCAATGTCTTGTCACCAATTTCAATTCCCAACAAATCCAAATCTAGACTTGCACCAAACATAAAACTGGTTTCTAGTGATGAGGCTTCCCTTTGAACAGCTGAGTATAGGAAACTATAATCAGAATAATTGATATATCAGTGCAATTTTTAGAAATACCAAACTAAGATAAGGTATTATATGGATATTAGATTAGCTTCTCAATGTGGCCCTTATTCCTCTATTTCCTATAAAAGATGAATATTTTACACGGAGTTGATAATTTAACCTCTACAACGTTATTGAAAGATCATTGATGCAATGCAAATGCCATCCTTCATGCAAGGAAAATTTCTAAATTTGACATAAGTTAAGTTAGCTGGAGAACAAAATTAAACAGTTGACATTATCACCTAAAATAAGAGTTCCTACACATCAGTGCATGTACCTGAGAAAGGTAATTGAACAAATGCCCATTTCTCTCCAAATAGATTCTCAGGAAGTTCCATTGGAAAGGGATTATCCAAAGCTAAAAGTGGTTTAGAGCCTTTCTGAAAGCCAGGATGGCGGGTATACACAGTCTCATATCGTTCTTCCAACCATAGAAGTAGTGACAGACACTGTAAAATAAAGCAAATATCAGTCAGGACAATCAATGTGGCACTTTAATTCGGAATTCAAAGCATGCTACAAAGAGCAAACTAAAATGCGAAAGGTGACTAAAATCTATGTAAGCTCGATCATTTGGATGCAAACAAGATGTAAATTAGAGTGAATAATTTATATCATAGGCCTAAAAGAAGGAGATAAACTCGCACAAGGAACATAATACAATAGATTTGAAGAAACAATAAATTGACACCTTACTCTCAGCAAGAACATATATTCCCTGCATCTTGCAGTCCCAAACACATGGAACCACAAACAGCATTCAAGGGTAATCCCCATTTTGTTGAATAATGATGTTTTATTTCATATGCATTTGGTTCATTAAACAAATCCTACCTAAATGCTTCCTGCCACCAAGTTACAAATGGGAAATTGTGATATTTTTAATTGTCGAACCTTCAATCTACAATGCCAATTATACTTTCTAAATTATCACAAGGTAAGTATGAATAAGTAATAGCAGAAATGAATTCACTGGTTCTCATACAGTCAAACCTAATTAAAATTTAACATTGAAAGAGTTAAAGATCCTTTTTCACATTTTATAAGCTTGACTTTAATAAAAAGGAAAAACACCATGAAAAATAAACCACACACACCCGTTTACTTGGAATTGGCTTTATATCCAACTCTTTGCACGCCTTTGTTATGATTGTCTGCATTTGTGACCTACAAATCAAAACCAAAAAAATAAACCCATAAATACTAACCAACCTTTTCAATAACATTATCCAGAACAGATTATTGCAAATTAATTACCACAAGATTCACCTGAAGAAGCGGATTTTTTCTGGCAAAGGAACACCGAGATCCTCACTAATGGACAAAATAGCATCCTTTAAAGTAATACTATTAATAACATTATTTGGGAAGTACTTTGTATATTGTAGTGAAAGTGAATCATCACACACAACAAGCTCCCACACTTTCTTGCCTCTAATATCCAATATAGGTCTTGAGCAAAAATCCAATTCCCATTCAATAATGCTTTCTGGATCAGTTTCTGGGTCAAGATAACTCATCTCTGCTGTTGGGTCATCTTCTTCGTAGTTCTCAACCTCCACTTCTTCTTGAGTTGAAACTGAGAGTTTGGATATCGTGTTGGGTTGGAAGCAGTGGTATTTGTGATTGGTTTTGGTGGGTTTTAGAAAGCAACGCAAGGAAATTTTTGTGGATTTTGAAAAAGAAGTGATTTTGAAGATGGGTTTTTGAGGAATTCTAGTAGGATTGAAGATAAGAGTAGCCATGGAAGCTCTGTGAAAAGAAAATTGAAGATTGGTAGTTTGTTAGTTACATATTCACCAGTAATATGGTTGGCAGCGGGGCAGCTACCTGCTAGAAATAGACTATCCAACCCCGAATCTGTTAGTGATTTAAGTACCCGAATCCACCCCGAATCCGTTAAGGAATAAACCAATAATACCTAAATCCGTTTAGAAATACCCGTATACTTCGGGTTTCATGCAGGTTCGGGTTTCATGGGTTGAATAAATTTGTGATTAAACGGGTTCGGGTAGTATTCAAAATAATAAAACTTAACCTGTAATATTCAAAATAATAAAACAACTTAACCTGTAATATTCAAAATAATAAAACAACTTAACCTGTAATATTCAAAATAATAAAACAACTTAACCTGTAATATTCAAAATAATAAAACAACTTAACCTGTAATTCAAAATAATAAAACAACTTAACCTGTAATATTCCAAAATAGAACAAAAGAATTGAAATTCAACCTAAATAAATAATTCAAACCAATGTCTCAATTAAATAATTTGACAATCAAACATCTAAAATTCCATAAGAATAATATCAATAAAAAGTAAAAATCAATTAAAATATAGTAATACTAATTAAACCAATTAAAATAAATAAAAAAAATCTTCTTGTTGGCCATTAGGAATAAAATCAGCCCAACTTCAAACTTTCACATTTTGTACAAAAAGCAGATTCCTTTTACCGTGTTTTGCTTATCAAGTTTGCTATTTGTAACTAACCTCATTTACAATGTCAAATTGAAGTTTGAAATCCTATATTTAGCAGCGGAAAATTAACAAACCATTCCCAGTATATGCAAATAATCTCATTCTCAGCATCTCTAGACAATCTTAAACATTATTAACAAACCAAACTTTGAATTAACAAACAAAACATATCAGATTTCACTTAACAAACCACGAATTGGCTTATATTCACAATCCTTTTGCCTTTTAATATGTATATTTTCAACAAATAAAACATGCACAAAACCCATAAACGAAAAAATAAAACAATATGCAAATAATCTCGACTGAACATATAAATTAACTTAAGAATTCCTCTTCTTTGTCTTTTTAAAAGTGTTTATATATATATATATATATATATTAAAAAGTGTTATAATAATATATATATATATATATATAGGGAAAAAGGGACGAAGCAAAACGTAATAAAAAAAAAAAGTAAAAACTGAGAATGAAATAAACAGGAATCAAGAAAAAACCTATATATAAGGAAAAGGGACGAAGCAAAACGTGAAAAAAAAAAAAAGTAAACTGAGAATGAAATAAAAGAATCAAGAAAAAACCTGGTGAGGATCAAGCTTGAAGCACGATTGCTGCGGCCTGCGGAGGCGATGACCAGGAACGAAAGCAACGGGAAGGTGTAAAGAAAGACTGTGGCTGTAGAAGTAAGAAAACGAGAGGCGCAGGGAAGGGATGGAGGAGAAAATATGTTTGACTCGAGTTTGAGAGTAGTTTTTGTCCGTATGGTTAAAATGCAATCCTAGGCTAAAACCACGTAGTTTTGTTTGTGGATTCATTTAACCCTCCTACATCAAAATTAGACTGTTATTATGGTAAAATAATTATTTTTGTTATTATTATTATTATTAAATTTATTATTATTCTTTTTATTATTAAAGTTATTATTATTATTATTACTATGAAAGTTATTAATTAAAGCTATAATTATATTTCAATATTATATAATTTTAATAATAAAATATTACATAAAGTATTAAGTTTAATATTTTTTTTATTAGAAAATATAGTTATAATTAATTATGATTGGAGTCTATCCAGTTTAAGTAAATATTACATATACTCGAATATCTTGAAGTAAATTTGTTTGTCTTGTTAAACTCCTTCTGTCATCATGTAAAATATGTAAAGTTATTTGTCTATATTAGGTGGTATCCATCTTTTGTCTATATTAAGCTCTATCCATCTTTTTTCTATCATGATAAGGTTTATCTTATTAGGTAATAGTTATCTAGACTTTAAATCAAATGAAGTCCATACTCTTCTAACAACAGCTAAGTGTGTTTTGAGAAAGGCAGAAATTTTAAAAGAAGCGTGTTTATGCTATCTCTATGACTTTATCCCATGCTCTTTCAAAAAGTTTTGTGATCCTCTTTTTGTAAGTGATAAAGTTTTCTTTTGTATAATTATCGTTTTAACTCTGTTTTATTTTATATTACTTTGATTAAATTATTATTTTGTTTCAATTAATTGATATGATTACTTATACTTATATGTATCATATTAGTTTGCCTGAACTCTATTCTCCTTCCATTTCAGTTTAACAATTACTGTTACTCCACAACTGAGATGTATGTTTAGTTTTAATTGTGGAGGATTAGCTCCAAAGATAATTGTTTCATTCCTAGTTAAAGAGTGTATAGATCTAAGATCTAGGGTATTTGTCATAACTTTATAGTAAATTCTATAAATGACTACTATAGATCTAGCATATTTTTTTATTTAATTGTTAAAGTTAAAGCATCTAGAATATTTGGATCATAAAGAAACAACGAAAAGTTTGGATAGTAATTAAAACAGATAGAACCATTAGCTAAATTAAATTCAATCGTAGCTAAAAGAGAGTTTGAAAAATTTAAATTTCTTGCATCTCGCAAACATGAAAAAATAAGAATATCTAAACCAACTCGAAATAAAGTTTTAATTGCAACTTGAACCATACCTATATGCAAAAATTTATATTTTTTCTTATGCATCAAAATAGCTTATGGAGAAAATAATTGAATATTTTCATGCATATGACTTAATGGAACAAATTGTGTAGTTTGTTTAATTGAATAATCAGAAAGAAAATCAAAGGAATTAATTTTGTAAATAGTGCTGACATCATGTTTTGTAATAGACCAATTATGTAGCTGATTCTCAACATGAACGATATTCATCTCTTGATTATTCATATCACTAAGGCCAGAACTAGGATCATTACTATTAAAGGACTTATTATTATAAAGAAGATTTAGTAATCTACTCATCTGCAGATTAATAATTGTAATTAGAGACTATTGATTATTGGGACCACCTTTGCAGGACCACCTATCACACGACTAACCAACGCTTACACCAGCTAACCAACAATAATCCAATAGCTCGTAATTTATAATGATTAATAGCTTAACTCATAGATTTCTATATCTTATTCCTAACAAGTGGAAACGACTCGAAAATTTATTTTCACAAAATTCTCATTTGAAAATTTAACCATAAATTTCAAACGATGAAATTTAACGAAAAATAATTTTCTATGCTACGAATCAAACCCGAAAACTAAATTTAAATCGTCAAATTCGGTCAAAAAACATGTAAACCAGTTGAAAACCAAACCAAAACTCATGATTTTGACCAAACCAAACTCAATTCGAACCTAAATCACTCTAAAAGACCCTAGAATATTGCAAAATATTTTTTGATCCCATTTTCTTTCTCTTCTCGCGAGGTTCCCAGTGACAACAACTCCTCCCTTCCCCATTCTTCGATTTTCCGACCACTGGAGGCCAGTCGGATCATCCGAACTTTCTCCACATCACCACGGCTCTCCGCCGTTCTCTCCTTCTCCTCTGTTATCTCTGGCAGGCACAGCAATGGCGTGTGAAGTTGTGATTTCATTCGAATCGGGACAGTGTTCTCCATTTTTTTTCCGTTCACTTTTCAACGACTCTAAGCCACGAGATAGTGTGACTGGCTTCTTCTCCTCTCCTTCTTTCGTTTTACGGCTTCATTCCTGAGTGTTGTGGCTTGAATCGAAAAAACCCCAAAGAGGGGCGGCTGACCAAATGTTTAGAGCAGATTTCCAACCAAATGAGACACACTTAGCTCAAATTGATCACATATTCGAGCTCCTCACAAAATTTCGAGAGCTTTGGTGTAAGCCTTGTGAAATTCTGACAAAGATCGGTTTTTCGATCACCGTTCACGGCGGCGCCAACGGAGGTCTGGTGACTGGTCGACGAGTCTCCGGCGAGGCCCCAAGAGGCAGAATCATCTTCTCCTCATGCAGATTGTGGAATCGTAGTTCGATTTTCGATTGTTACTCTCTAAGATCTAGTTCCCCATTTTTGGAATAAATTCTAAATTTAAAACTATTAGTTGATTAAATTGATTTCGACTAAATAGTTAATCGAACATGATTCTTGTTAGGGAACCTCAATAGATATTTAACTATTTAGCTACTGTTTATGTGAAAATAAGTAGGAATTCCAATTTTTGTCCTTTAAATTAGTATATAAAATTGAACGTCTGTATGGAAATGGTTGATCATTGCTTTATTATAAACTCCTATGAAGGATTAATGATTCTTTAGGTTGATAGAAGCTAGTTAACTAAATGCTAAGTTCTTAAGATTTTATTAAGGAAGTATTAAATTTATATTCATTTTGAATGAGCTACAATGCTGCAATTCTACATCGTGATGAGAAATGAGTTAAACTTGTGCATATATTTAAGTTTAGGTCAATGAGAACTTATTATTTTTGTGGGAAATAACTATTGCGGATATTTGGTATCATTTTAGGTAAACTAACAAAGAATTGAATATATTTTAATGCTTTTGATAGTTAGTTTTGGTTATTACTGGATAACATTACTTTTGCTAGATAAACAATTCGATCATAGACCTTAACGATACCTAGAAGTGGTATTTTATATCAAAACGAAGAAAGTTTATAAAGCTTTAGTTGAAATCATATTTAAGCGGCGAATCGGGTTACTCAAAAGATACATTATTTTATTATAGTCTAATTGAAGGATTGACTCTTAGTGGCTAGTCTAGAATTTTATTAAATGATATTCATACCTCGAGTAAGGTTAATGAAATAAAGATTTATATATATTCGAGTAAGGTTAATGAAATAAAGATTTTTATATATATATTATATATTATATATAATATATATAGTATATATATATAGAAAGGGGATTTTATTTATTTGGTACTTAATTAAAGAACTACATTATTTGATAATATTTGTTGTTATAATTAGAAGAATTACTTTAAGTTGTAAATTTGAGGTTGTTTTTTACTTTGTTGAATTATGGTTGTATGGTGATATAAGCTATTAAAGGAGGGATTGCGGGAATTTGACTTGATTGGTTGCCCGTTTGATTGGTTGCCCGACGGATGGGCTGTGTTGGTTGAATGAATATTTTAATGAAATTATTGATATTTAAACAGGTGGATAGTCCTATTTTTAGGGGAGATTCTTTCGAAATTTCTATAGAATTTAGATTAGTTTTACTTGTTAAATAGGTTATTAGATTATCTAGGACAAGCCTTTATTTTTATTTAGTAGAGTACTTTATTCAATTCTTTTCTCCCCTTTGAATTTCCATTTCGTTTAGATCGTTCTAATTGGTTCATTGATTCGATAAGTTCAAATCGAACTTTGAGTCTTTTCCCATCTAGTATAGTAAATAATAATAAATAGTGCATTACCATTTGCATCATACATAAAATCATTACTATACAGAGCTTTGTCTTTAATTATTTATTAATTATTTATTTATTTTTTATTATTTATTATTTTTATTATTTATTTATTTATTTTTTTTAAGTATCAATTATTATGTTATATTATTATTTAATACTCTTATATTTATTTGAATTAGTATATGAATGTTTATTTGCGCTCTTGCATGATAATGTTTAAGTATTTAATATGCTTGCACTAATTGTATTGTTTGATTAATTTGTGTTGTGACATTTATTTGCCTTGTTTGCATGGAATTGGGATGAAGTGGATCACCATGGGTTTGTGAGGGCGGTCTTCGATACTGCGGCCATATATAGGGAGATCGGCACCACCGTGTGCATTTGATGAAACAGATTATATGGAAAACCATAGGGTGGCCTCCTGTTGGTATAGAAAAGAAAAGAGAGTATAAAAAAATGAGAGGGTTGGTCAAGCGAGGATTAGACCGGTCGGCCATGTATGGGGATCGGCTCCCTGGTGCACACGTTATGAGAGGATGGGCCATGTGTGAGGAAGGCTCATCGGGGGTTTCAGTGACACCACTGACCAATTTCCACTTGTTTGATTACCTGAAGGTGTAATTACTTGTGGATGCTGATGTTGTGCCATATGCTTGACCGACTGTGTGTTCATTTGCTTGACCGACTGTGTGTTCATTTCAGTAGTTTAGGAAGCATTTCGTGTGAATGCTTGTGTTATGCAATCATTACTATTCACTAATAAACTCACATTTCTTTTATTTAACTTTTCCAAGAAGTAGATTCTTCATTGTCCCGACTAAACCTCTGTTTCCTTCATCGCGGAGCTAGGAAAGAAATTTTCTAATTTCAATAATTATTTTATTTATAGCTATATGTATGAGAATTTGATTTTATCTATCTATTAGTGAACTCTGCAGTTGTAGGATTGTATCCGATAAATTTAGGTGGATGTTTAGTTATTCATTTATGTGAATGCATGAACAAGTTAGCCCATATTATGAATGTTTCGTA